GCTGGGCCAAAGCTAACAAAATGAATTTCAACACAGAGAAATGTCAGGAGACCTGGTGGTGCAGTAGTTAAATGCCTGTACTGCAGCCACTCACTCATAAACCACAAGATTGCGAGTTCAATACTAGCCAGGGCTCAAGCTTGACTCAGGGCTTCATCCTTCTGAGGTCGCTAAAATTAATACCCAGTTGTTCGGGGGCAATTAACTTACAGTTGTAAACTGCTTAGACACTGCATAGTGCGGTATGAAGCGGTATTTAAATGAAGCTGCTCTTTTTTGCTTTGCTTTAAGGTATTGTACTTAGGGCAAAAAAATTGAAATGCATAGATATAAGATGGGGGACACCTGGCTTAGTGAGACTATGTGTGAAAGGGATCTAGGAGTCCTAGTGGACCACAAGTTGAACATGAGTCAACAGTGTGATGCAGCAGCTAAAAAAGCCAATGCAATTTTAGGCTGCATTAATAGAAGTATAGTATCTAGACCAAGGGAAGTAATAGTGCCATTATATTCTGCTTTTGTCAGGCCCCACCTGGAATACTGTGTCCAGTTCTGGGCACCACAATTCAAAAAGATTGTGGAGAAACTGGAGTGTGTCCAAAAGAGGACAGCCAAAATGGTGAAGGGTCTGGGAACTATGCCTTATGAGGAAAGACTTAGGGATCTGGGTATGGTTAGCCTGGAGAAGAGATGGTTAAGAGGTGATATGATATCCCTGTTTAAGTATTTGAAGGGGTGTGACATTGAAGATGGAGCAAGCTTGTTTTTTGCTGCTCCAGAAACTGGGACCTAGAACAATGGATGCAAGCTACAGGAAAAGAGTTTCCACCTCAACATTAGGAGGAACTTCTTGACAGTAAGGGCGGTTCGACAGTGGAACACACTTCCTTGGAAAGTGGTGGGGTCTCCTTCTTTGGAGGTCTTTAAACAGAGGCTGGATGGCCATATGTCAGGAGTGCTTTGATTGAGAGTTCCTGCATGGCAGGAGGTTGGACTGGATGGCCCTTGTGGTCTCTTCCAACTCTCTGATTCTATGATCTCCAGTCTATTCATACTTGAACCATTCATACCCTGCTACTTCTCAAATTCATTCTCCTTATTAAGCTGACCAGGAATGGTGTGTGACTCAGAATTCAGAAATTCTGAGTAGCCACTCCTGCTGTGGCATAATCTGTCCTCTCTCTTGTGCC